ATTCCCGATCGCGAAGCCAACGAAAAAAATTAAATTCTTCAAGTAAAGTTAAAATCTTTGGGAATGGTAATATTTCGATCCCTGCAAGCGTGTCACAACTTATCAATGTTGTATACAATTACTCCAAAACTCAATATTTTGTACAAGTTTACCACACCCCAATACATGGGAAGAACGAACATTTTCTCCGCTTTTTCTTATTATTATTATTCCCAAATTAGAATTGGTTTTGAGAAATTATGTTGTTAACTTTCAACTTTACGATTAAATGGCCCTATTATTTTAATCAAACGCCATAGTACGAGAAATGTATCCGTTTATATATTTTAAAACAAGCTTCTGTAAAGCAAATATGCAGAAGTACACCTTCTTTGAAGCGATCAAAGTTCAACTAAAGCCAGGGTATTACTCACCAATCCATTTTTCTGGGAGTTTCCTTCTTAAAGCAAACACACAGGTATCACAGAAATTGTCTGAAGAATTAGCCCTTTCTTCAAACTCAAACACTGATTATGTGAAATGGTGGATTCCTTTAGGTGATTTCCGTGGTATCAAACGGTGTTACGGTTAACAGTTGTCTTAAAAGTTATTCACTTTAAATTTATTCATTTTAGGATTTTCGCGCAAATCTGCACGAGGGCTTTCTATGGATGGCTGCCTGTACCTTTGAACTACTGACGCTAGCACAAGTTTTACGGTGGGAGGGCTCAAAACCATTGAATAAACATGTAAATCCCTCTGTGTAATAGAAATTGCGCGTTCGATTACTGTTAAAACGTGCCAGTAAAACGAAGCCAGCATTAACATGTGGTTATATATTTAATTATAAAAATGCTTTTACCATAACTCTTGAACAGGATTAACATAAAAACATTGTACAAATTATAGCTTGTATCAAAAATTCCATCGCTTACTTCACTGGCGGTCTGTGATGTTAAATATTTTACTAACCTTTGCCTGTTTTGGTTTGAGTACTAGGTGGAAACCCGAGGGGTTCCGCTGAATTCTTATGTGCCTTGCAAGAGGTAGAGTTCCTTTACTGATATTATTAGTGGCCTTCTGGTTGCATAATGTCCTATTGATTAGCCGCCGCCTTATTTTCACAGCTACATCATATGCTACTTTGTTTTCCAGCAGTTTAATTTCCATTGAATATAAATGAAGGCTTTCCATGGCTCCCATTGAATACAAATGAAGGCTTTCCATTGTTCTCATTGAATACAAATGAAGGCTATCCATGGCTCCCATTGAATATAAATGAAGATTATCCATGGCTCCCATTGAATATAAATGAAGATTATCCATGGTTCCCATTGAATACAAATGAAGATTATCCATGGTTCCCATTGAATACAAATGAAGGCTATCCATTGTTCTCATTGAATACAAATGAAGGCTATCCATTGTTCTCATTGAATACAAATGAAGGCTATCCATT